CAGCTGTCAGCCCGCAGTGCTCTGGGGCAGGAAGAGGCAGGGACTGGGACCTGCTCTGGTTCCATTTCCTTCCTCCAATTCAAAGTGTACTCCAGACACTTAATGGCCAGTTTCTTCCTGTTGCAATTATCATTAGCTCGTGAAGCAATTAGCTATAGGCCTGCTCTCACCATTTGCTCCTCTGGTCAGTCCCGTGGCAGCGGCAGTTGGTAAAGCCCAGGCACAGAAGGGAGATGCCCCAGCACTGGCAGCAGCACCAGACCTGTGCCCTGGCATTTTGGGGACCAGACCCAGAGCCCCCGTGAGGACGGAGCACTGGGGCACTGTGTTTATGGGTTTAATGCAGGGATGGGACCAATGGCAGCTCCTGTCCCCAGTGCCCAGGGACCCAGTGCCTTGTGCCTGGGGAGATGCCACCCTGTCACCTCTCCTATCCACAACATCCCCATAACCCCATCAACCCTCTCGTCCCCAGCACCCCTTTCTGTTCCCAATGTCCCCCACCATGCTATCACCCCTCCTGTCCCCAACATCTCCATACCTCCTGTCACCAGCACACCAGCCACCTGGTGACCCCTCCTGTCCCCATCGCCCCTGCCACACTGTCACCCTTCCTATCCCTGTCACCCCTGCTACCCCTGTCACCCTTCCTATTCCCAACATCCCCATCACTTCAACCTCCCTGTCCCCAGATCCTCAACCATGCTGTCACCGCTCCTGTCTCCAGCATCCACATAACCCCTCCTGTCCCTGCCCCCCCCGTAAGTGTGCAGCAGAGCTAAGCTGATTACCTCCCTTAATACCCCCATGGCCCAGAAGCGCCATTTCAGGCAAATGTCCCAGACTTGTCTTCCCCTTTGCACTGCAGGAAGGAGCCAGGTGCCCCTGGGGATTGAGGGGTCCCTGGGGAGGGGGGTGGCTCTGCAGGGAGCCCCCTCTGTGCAGCGCAGCCCCAGCGTCATGCCAGGGTCCTGCTCCAGACCGCCTGCGGACTCTGAACCCATGCCCAGAGCTTCCAGGGAAATTGTAGATCCAAAAGGCCGGACCCTGCACAGCGTAGCCACAGCATCTCCTAGGCTCCAGCACCACTGTCTCCCCACCCCGAGCTTCAGCTCTCCCCACACTGACACCCACTGGGCACAGCTGGGGCACAGATGGGTTTGTGGGTCCCCAGTGAGCTGCAGCAAAAGGAGAGGAGGGATTTTCACTGTGTCTCTGCCATAAACTCTTCCTTGATGCTGACCATGTCGGGAATTGGAATCGTGGAGATGGTGGGCCTCTTTCCACCCATTCTCCCTCCCCAGACCTGTAGATGGAGCCCTGCCCAGGTCCCTGGTGCAGGTACTGACCCACTCCTGCACCACACCTCACCTGCCCACAAGGGCTCATTTCTCGTGTTGGGAGCCAGCTGAGCAAATGTAACCCCAGACAACACGGGGTGAACGTCTTCTCCAAGAATAAAATCCCACAGAAAATTAAACCTGGGAGCAGTGCACAGCTCCCGAAGGAGTGGCACTCCAGTTGCCATGCAGGAAGCACTGGTGTGGCAGAGGACACCCTGACATGCAGCCACGGAGGGGCTCAAAGGGACGGTGTAGCTGCACACCACCGAGCAGGACCAGTGCCCACCATTGCCACCGCTACCAGGGTCACTCAAGACACCCTTCTCTGTGTCTCAAAAAAAAGCTGGGGCTGGAAATATCTGCTTTCTGCAGACCAATCCGTGGGATGTCAGGGGGCTCAGAGACCACCCCCCGCTCACCCTGGGAAGCTCATCAGGGCAGCCAGTCCCTTGCAGGTGCCACAGACACAACATCGGGCACCACTGCGATGCTCCCAAGAGCGGCTTGGAGCTTCCCCAGCTCCAGGATGATGGTTCCCAGGGACAGCCCATTGCACCACCCTGACCCCACCACAGCTCCCTCCCCAGCACAGTGATTGCAAAGAGCAAATTAAAAGCCAAATGATAGACAATCCCACTGCATATCGAGCCATGGGTCCTTCTTAGGGGATGGCTCCTGCCTTGCCGTGCCCAGCTCTGGACCTTGAGAAGTCCCTGCACCACCACAGAGCTGGGGCAGCCGCTATGAGCACCAGCATCTTTGCTCCCACCTGCAACCCTGAGAAGAGGCACGAAGAGGAAAGGCAGCGAGGAGCCAGCAGTTCATATGTGGCCAAATGGGTCACTTGGACTAGAAAGGACCAGTTGGTTTTTGCTGAACAGCTTCTCTTAGTGTTTCTGATGCAAAGTCCTGGCTGCAGCAGCTGGGCCAGGGTTTTCAGGCTTATTAAAAGAAGAGGTTCTTGCCTGTCATCCTATTTGTAAAATTTTTTTTTTGTTTATAAAAATAATAGTAGATTAAATTTGGCAACCAAATTGCTCGAGAAGGGGTGAGAAGTCTGACTCTCACTAATGCTCCAGGAAATACAGCCAGAAAACGGGTGAGGAAACATTTCTGCCCGAAGCTGGGTGTGCTGGATAGACACATGTGAGGGGAAAAACACAACTAAGGAGCACCAACTCCCACTGTACCACCTCCAAAGCCAGATGATGCCCTTCCTCCAACTTGGATCAGGCCCTTGGCAAGACGAGGATGTCACCAAGCCATGTGCTGGATGCACCCTGGGACACGGCATCTGTGGCAGGGGCCTCTGGTTTGCAGCACCGGCAGATGAAGGCGGGGAGGAGGAGATGCCAGCCTCCATTTGAAGAAGCTTTGCTGAAGCTGCAGAGGCACGAGGACGCGAGTATGGTTGTTCAGGTGCCGCCAGCTCACTCCTCACCAGGAGCCAGATTCACTGGCACATCCCAGAGCAGGAGCTGCCCCTGGCCCTGCCACCTCCATCATGCAGTCGTCCCCAGAGAAAGCCAAGCTCTGCCCCATCTGCCCAGGAAGGGAAATTATAAAATGGGAAGAAACAGCCAACATTTCCTCCACCCCACCACACTCGGGGAGGGCAGCTGCAGGGACAGGATAGTGACTCCTTTCACTGCCCAGCTTCCCAGAGATGCTCCTCCAGCCATCCCCAGGAGAAACCAGCCCAGAGCTCCCTACCACCACATGCTGCACAAACCCGACCTCCCAGCAATGGGATGCTGCTGTCAGCATTTCCAGGCGGTACAACGATGACATGATTGGAAACGGCACAAAGAAACCGTCCCCAGCCTTCGCTTGGGAGAAAGAGGTGGTGATGAAAATCCCAACCCCACTTGTGCCAAGAGCGAGCCACAACCCAGCTGCTGGAGCAGGCGGCTGCCGGCGGAGCGAGGCCCCTCACTGGGAAGGGGAAGCCCTGCTCCCTCCCCCCATGACTGCCCAGGCACAGCCACCCTGAGCAGCCCCTCGGGGCGGGGGGGGTGCCCCCCCAGCAGCACTGCCAGCCCGTGTTATCCCCCCCAGCCCCTTAAATTCAGAGGCAGCAGAGATTATGCCAGATTGCTGGTGGCTGCACCGGAGTCACTTGGGTCTCCTTCCTCCCATAGCAGCCTGCGTCATGGGTACCTCTGGCCAGGCCACCCAGACCTCGACGTGCAGAAGAGGGAGAGCACAGGAGCTTCCTCACCTCCAGCCTCAGCATGGAGGGAGCCAGATGTCTTGAACCACTGAGAGATTTAAAAAAAAATACTGCACCTTCTTGCCCTCCCAGAGAACAGGCAGGAGCATGGTGAGGCCGCACCATCCCCAGCTGACGGCAGGCTGCCTGCCCGCTGTCTGCCCCGCCAGCAAGCCAGAGCGGGGAGAACAATATTAGATCTGCAAACAATGCTGGGAGCAAGGAGGCACTCCCCGGCTCCTGCGGCCAGCGAGGCAGAAAGCACCTGCCCGGAGACAAGCCGTCCTGCGGGCAGGGACACCGCACCTCCCTGTCCGTGCGGGCAGCCCCCAGGTTTCCCCGCAGGCAGCAACGCTGGGGGCCAGATGGGGTTTTCGGATGGGTGGTGTTCATGCCCATCGTGGCCCCGTGCACAGAGTGAGGGGACACAGCACACATCCAGTGCCAGACCCACCGGGAAGAGAAATGCATTAACCTAGACCCCAAAACTGAAAAAAAAAAAACAAACAACAAGACAAAACCAAAACCTAAATCCCCAAAACAACCCTAAAGAAAACAGAAAGAAGGCCAAAGGCGGTGCTGCTGGGAGGGAAACAAAAGCCACACATTTTTTTCTGCCCTAGGAGAGAGGAGGAACGCCTCTGTCACGGATTCAGACCCGTGGGGTGGTGTTGCTGCTGCGCCCCTTGAAGGAGCGACTCAGGGGAGGGAAGCTGACAGGGCTCTCCCAGCCTGGCACAGCCTCCCCGCGGCTCCCTAAGATGGCTTGGTCACCACAGCAGCTTTATTTGATTTTTTCTTTTTTTTTTTTTTTTTTTTTTTTTTTTTTGTTTTGATAGTTTTAAATTTTTTTCCCCCCAACAAAGGTGTTTAACGGGGGCCGCAGCGCCGGGCCGCTCCCAGGGGCCCATGCCCTCTCCCCAGCCCAGCGGTGGGTACCCCAGCCCGCTGCGGGGGCTGCCTGGGGGCCGGCCGAGATGGGGGAAACTCCGGGGGGCTGGGGGGGGGGGGGGGGGCGTGGGACCCCACGAGCCGTTTACCACCTTGCTTTCAGGACGTGGGAGCACGCTGCCCCGGGGAAGGATGCTGAGCGGGCCTTAACCCACGGCAGCTTCCCGGAGCCCCCACCCCCCGGACGCTGAGTGGGGTGGGGGGGGACACGGGAGCCGCGGTGCAGGAAGGGACCCGCTGCCTCCTCCCGGGGGACAGAGAGCCCGGGCACCCACGGATGCTGAGCCCTCGTGGAAGTGGGGAAGGGGGGGGGGGGGCAACCGCACCGGGTTCGCCGTGGGAGGGCCCACGCGGGTCCCTTGGGAAGAGGGGCGCGAGCATCCGCGGTCCTCCGCGGGGGGAGAGAGGACACACAGACACGGGGGTGGACGAGGCGGGGGGAGAGGGGCGGCGGGAGGGACACGGCCACGGGGGGGACACGGAGACACACTCACCGGCACGGGCGACGCGCAGGCGGCAGGCCCCGAGCGCAGCGAGCAGCAGCAGCAGCGCTCCGCGGCGGGCGGCAGCGCCCCGGGCCGCCACCATCCTCCACGGACACGGGCGGGCGTGGGGGCCGCGGCGGCTGCGGGCGGTGGCGGGAGCTCCGGGGCGGGGCCCGGCGGAGGGGGCGGGGCCAACATGCGAGGCCACGCCCCCACCCCCCTTCCCCGGCAGCATCGCGGCAGGACCGCTGAAGCCTTCATCCCAGTCAGCATCCCCCGGCACCCATCATCTCAGCCCATGCCCCCACGCACGCACCCCCCCCGTGGTCTTGGAGGGGGGGGGAATCCCTCAGAGGGGACCGACGGGTGATGTCCCCATGCCTGCTGATGGCCAAATTGTGGCACTGGGACACTGGGTCCCTTTGTAGGCATCAAGGCCATCAGCGAGACCACCCAGCTTATCCCACGCCCTGAGCCACCCTCCAAAATGCTGGCGTGGGACAGCTGCTCTGAGCGCTTGGCAGCATCTCTGTTTTGTGTGGAATTGTCTGTGTGTGCCGGGTGGGACAATTGACACCAAATCTTGAAACCAGAAATGCAGCCTGCACACAGGGAGGTGAGGAGCATGGGGCAGTAGAGATGCTGTTTCTTCCCAGCTCCAGGATCAGAGGTCAGAGGAAGCTGGTGAATGTTGGGACTTGATTACTGCCCCAGTTCCACCAGGAATGGCATAAATTGGGGACGATGGGCTGGGAAATCCCACATGTGGGTCGTGTTGCTGCTGGGGCAGTACCCTGGCTGATGGTGGGAGGTGCCATGTCCCTGCCTGCCAGGCAGTTGTGGCACGGGACTGCAAGCACTGAGTTTGTCAGACCTCAGGTGCAGCCACAGGCCTTGGACAGAGCCGTGCATGGCTGAAACACCCCCTCCCTTCCCATTCGCAGCCATGTCCCTGGATCACTGTGGAGTGAGCTCCCTTCTGAACCCTCATCACACACGCTGGATTCATCTCATGTGTGTAGGGTTTGTTTTCCAACCCTTGGATCCTCCTTGGAGCATGAACGTCCCAGCTGGCTGCAAGGCAGCGGGTGCTCGGTGTAGATGTGCCTCTGCAGCCACCAGCTCCAGGGATGCCCCACGGACACCCCAGTCATGCTGCTGACTGACATGTCCCTGCCAGACTAGGATTAGTTTAATTATTAGTTTAATTAATTCCAAGGGATTATTGTCCCCAGCATCCCTGTGTGCTGCAATGCTGCTTGGGCTGCACAAGGTTTTATCCTGCGGAGTCAGGGGATGCCAAGGCAGACAGCTTTGCAAAATCCAGGAATCCAGTCCTTGGCCCCATGCTCCAGGCACACACCCGAGACCTTGGTACGAGCAGGAGGACGTGATGCTTGATGGGACCCGCTGTCTGGGATCCCACTGGCTGACATGTGCTGCCTCTTCAGTCCCTAATTCTCAGTGGAGGGATTCCCACGGTCGGTGCCCTGCCACGTGGTTAGGCTCAGCCCCAGCTGACAGCGCTCACGGCGGGATCCCCGTTAGTGTCAGCAGTGCCCTGGCAGGCTGTCAGCCTGTGTTGTGGCTTTCCAAGGTTTGCAGGGGGTGCGGCGTGCTGGGGACACTGGGCTGGGCTTTGGCAGGGGCTGCCTCCTGCCCGTGTCTCTTGCTGCCACCAAGGCTGTGCAGGAAGGTGTAGGCAGAGATGGGTGACAGCATGACATGAGGCCAGCCGTGGGGACAACATTCATTGCAGCTTTGTCATCTGTCTCCAGCACAATAGATATCTCTTAAAGTTTTCTTTCTTCCTTAATTTCCTTGGCCTTTCATTCCTGCCAGCTATCTGGGAATTTTACTTCTAAAGGAAAGATCCTGCATCCTCTTTCCTCTCCAATTTGCTGGAGCTCTGTATTCATTAATTGCTTCTCAATTTTAACATGCACCTCTGGGGCCAGCAAGTGCAGCAGGCAATGGTACTGGGAGAACTGGGGCAAGTGTCCACTCTGGGGCTGGTAACCATATCTTTAACCTGCTGCTTTTTCCCCTACAGGAAGGGGGGTTTGGAAGGTTGCTGGGATGGATACTGGTCCAAACCACAGAATTACTGGGACAAACTAGACCCATTTATGCTGATATAAATCCCTAATAAACTCAGTGATTCTAATGCACTGAAAGAGCCGAGCTCCTCTTCTGTCCTGTGTTGTCCCTGCTGTCAAGTGACAGAGACGTCAACCTCAGCCAGTGGACAAAGTCCCTGCCAGGTCCTGTCCCCATGTGTTACTGACCCAGCACCTCCAGCTGCATCCAGGGGACTGGTGCTCCCAGCCATGGGTGCCCTTGTGCCGCAGGAGAGTGCCATTGCGTGGCCAGGGCTTGGCACCTCTGGGGCAGGGTCCAGCTGGGACCCCTCACCCATGGGGCCAGGGCAGGTTCCCAGGCACCGCAGCTGACCTGGCCCTACCAGGGCTGTGCACCTTCGGTGGGTGGTTGGTGCCCCTGCCCCACCATGGGCTCTCCAGAGCCCCATAGTTGTTGGGGGTTTCCCTTCTTGGTGTTGAGGCCAGCAGCTGGTTCCTGGTGGTGGCAAGGACCACGGGGACTGTAGCAGTGAGGAATTATGAAGCTGACCTAGACCACAGGTCCACAGCGTGGCAGTGGCCAGGAGCAACCATAAGCCACCCGTTGCAAGTGGCTGGGAACCAGCGATGGGTCTGTACAGAGGCAAACTCAGCAAACACTGGGCCAGCGCAGGGTGCTGGGGCCAAGGCAGCCCCAAACAGGGGCATTTGGGTGAGGAGAGCTGTGGGGGAGGCAGGTGGGGATGGTGGTGCGACCGCTTCCTTGTGTGCATGTGTCAAGCCTGGGGGCACCTGGCCTGGCAAGAGCAGTGGGAGCAAATGAGGGGTAACTGAGGAGGCACTGGTGTGTGTTCGGGGGAGCCTGTGAGTCTTGACAAGGCAGGGAGAAAACCCTCACCCCATGTTGCTGACCTGGACAGGGGATATCTGAGAGCCTGATGCACCTCTGAAAGGATCCCAGAACTCCCCAGCATCACACCCAGCCATGGAGCAGGGTCACCATCTCTTCTTCTGGGATCAAGAGGTGGAGAGGGCCATGGGAGTGAGACCTGAGAGCAGTGAGGCTGGGGGCTGCAGAGGGGGGAGCTGAACTGGATCCTCCAGCACTGACCCATCAGGGTAAGCGGGGCTGGCAGCGAGGTGGGACCTGCTCTACTGAGCCTGAGTTATCCTGGGATGCTCTGATCCCAATCCCCCTCTTTGGAGCAGTGCTTGCTGCTCACTGCAAGTCCAGCTCCAGCTCCAAGGGTCTGGCCCATTGCAGACAACTGCTGGTTTCCAACCTCCCAAAATGCAGGCTGAGGCCACAACTCTTGCTAGTGCTCAGTTTCACATCTTAAAATTCACGCAGTGAAAGGAAAATAAGAAAAAATTATCTGGTGCTCAGCCTCTCTCCAGAATGGTGATTCAAGCTAGGGGTCACTTTTGGGCTGATTCTGGGTGGTTGTTCTGGGAGTTCCTGTGCCTAAGTCTCTGGCTGGGAGGGCAGGAGTATGCTGGGGGCTTGTCTCAGCCCCGGGATGGGAGAGCTGGAGCTCTGGCTCACCTCCTCTGACAGTGGGGTGCAATCCTCTACAAAGACAACTAGGAATGAGGCTCATCTCCTGCTCCAGAGAGGAGCCTGAGGAGTAACACAGTCATGGGGAAAGCTGCTCAGCAGCCACCCAGGGGGATGTGTTGGCTAAAATCCCTCACAGACCCCAGTTGGTAGCAATGTTTCTGCCTCACACCCCATGCACTGCCTGCTAGGGTTGAGCCTGCCCCAGCTCAGTGCATCCCAGGGCACCACTACCACTGTTGAGACATGCTCCCTGTCGTCCTCAGTGCAGCAGCCACAGAAAGGTGCCAAAAGCACCCTCTGCCTCTCACCACCTCTGTGCTCCATGCGAGAGCCAAGCACAGGGACCCCTGGGCAAGGAGCACCCAGGACAGGGGCTGCTAGTTGTTCCTACTGGCTTTGGTCAGGATGATCATCTGCCTCTTGGAAAGTCCCGTCTGGCTCATGGTGTCTCTGAATTTCTCCAGCATGTGGGTTTTTACTTGAGTGTTTCTTTCTGCAGGCACAGAGACATGGCTGCAGCCTGGCTGAATGTCCCCAGGCCTCCTCCTCCCATGGGGGTGGCACTGGTATCACTTTGGGGTTCCTATGCAGCCCTGCCCTGAGCATCCAGTCCCCCGGCACCCCCAGAGCATCAGGAAAAACTGCCTAGCAGCTCCCATCCCACTGGTAGGGCTTGTTGGAGGGTCTGACCCCTGCGCCCCTTGCCTCCCTGGGCATCACTGTGCTTTTTTTGTGCTTCCTCTGACACTTACAGTAGAGAAACAGCACTGAGATGGTCAGCCCCTGGTAATGCTGATTGCTGAGGAGGATGTTGTGGCTGACATAGTCTTTATCGACCAGGCCACAGCTGGTGAGATCCCTCCCTGCAGAAGAAAGTGATGGAATGTTTTAGATGTGGTTTTCGGAGCTCAGGGCATCACTTCCCTCTGGGGTGCAGGCTGAGCCTCCCCATGGCTGGGTCTCCTGGTGCTCCAGCAGCTCCCAGAGCCTCAGGCACTGCACAGCTGTGCACATCTTCTCACACACCCCCTGCCTGCCTGGGCCTCACCCCACACCCCTCCTCTGCACCCCCCACCCCCAAACCCTCCCACCCTATACACCCTGCACCCCTCCTCCACACCCCCCACACCTAACATCCCTCCCCTGCATCCAGCATCCTCCACAACCGATATATTCAGCATCCCTCCACTGCACCCTTTGTACATCTCTTACCCCCCACCTCATCACCCTGTGTACCCTGAACCTCCTGCACACCCTTGGCCCACCCCCTGTCAAGTCCCCAAAGTGGGTGCTGCTCCCAGCCTGCCTGGCTCAGGCTGGCACAAGCATTGCTGTGCTGCTTCCATGTTCTCCTCTGACTCCCTGCCAGTCTCCAGAGCCCAGCTCCCCACCCATCCCCACCACCTCCACACTGGCACAATGTGGGACCTCCTCAGATGCCAGCCTTGTCCCCAGGACCACCTGTGCCTCTGCTCTGGCTGCAGGACATGATCACTTCCAGCCTCCCCAGCCAGGATGTCTCCCACTCAGGGTG